AGCTTGAAACCTAAACCGACAAGTCGGTGTTCAGCAGTCTTCATTCCTAGCTCAAATCAGTCTACAATACTGCTCAATTATCATCTAATGACAGTGGTCAGTAACTGTCTTACTTTCGATATGATTAAACTCTATTAGTCACAGATTCTTACTAGAGCTCTGGAAATTACAGTGAGAGGCTTTTCATAATGGTTCCGAGTATTGATGTTTTTTATTCAGTCTTTCAGAAGTCTAATTCGGTAGTCGTTATAAAAATCTTGACAGATTATAGCATAAACTCATTGATTTCTTCTACTACCAATCTTTGCATATTGGAATAATCCTGCTTTATCGTTTAGAAAGAAAAACTAAGATAGTTTAGCGAGAAAACGTCCCTTCACTAAGATACATTAATTTCCAAAACAATGGTATCTCAATCTATTCTATTTTATTCTTTTGAAAGTAACTAGTACATACTAGCACTTCAAGTGTGATTTTTATCGTAGATGACATTTCAAGTTATCAAGTTTAACCAAAATTGTAGTGTACATTTCATTTATCAAGTGCAATTCAGTGTACTAAGCTATAAGTTATACTTTTAGTTTGAAGCTAGAAATACCCAAAGCCTGTTCATTTTGAAGTATGTTGGAAAAGGTTAGAACCTAAGAATTACTATTCAAGTCAAATGTTTGAACTTCCGTTTCCGAACTATTCACAAAGAGGATAATTTGTTTTCCATGGTATTCTACATTCTGATTGTCAATTTATAAAATTAAGTATTTAGTAATCTTTAATAAGTCTATAGGTATCCATATGTAATGTAGCAAATATTATGACATTGTAACGACAATATAAATCATACTTTAAGTAATATAAATAACAGAAGGGGTTTTGTGGATATTATAGTAATTTTAATAGTTGCGATCATGAGCCGATTGAAGCGAGACCACCATGAAAAACGTAGAACCACTGGATAGCCGTTTCGTCCTAGTATGGGACCCCTCATCAGTATTCATCCACGATCCCGCCTCGCGAGATTCGAACATAGGACCTATCGGTCTCGCGCACGAATAGTCAGTCAGTTACAACGTGGGACCAGGCACATACATGCATCGGTCCAAGCTGCCACACTTCATTAGCACAGCAAGAAGAACACCGGATCCATAGAAGCAGTTAATTCAATGGTGTATTATATAAAGGAAAGATGTTATGTAAGAATATAGTACAGAAAGAAAGAATTAGTTCATAGAAAGAAATATGTGAAATAATTGTAATCTCATAGTTTAAAAGAAGGAAAAGTGTGTATACACCTAAGCCATTGTAATCGATTTTGAACCATGTTACCCACAGTCTCCAACCATTGGTTACGATAGTCACACGAACTTCAACCAAATAATTGGCATCTACCAACATGGCTCAGACTTGAAGTTAATAACTTCAAGGACGAACGCTTAATCTTTAGATCACTAAGCTGGGATCCAATAATTTCAATTTATTAAATATATTGACATAATTCTTATGTATTATATCTATTTCTATATCATCTTTGCTTACATTTATTCTTTTTGTTTGTTTTTTTTTCTCTTTAAAGAATCGTTTAGCTGATCAATTAAAAGTTGATAAAATGAAAATAATCAAAATTTTATAAACAAAAATTACATTTTCTATTAATCACAGTTGACAAGACTATAGAAATTTAATTAATTTTTTCAACAGCTCTTTACCTTCAACAAGAACAACTGAATACAAAGAATACTAGTATACTTTTTCATATGAAATGTTCTGTAGTGTTTGTTTTGTTTGTTTAACTTCTTCTTGTACAAAAATAATTTAACACTTAAGGTAATAGATATTATTTTATTTATGTTTAGTTTCAATGATTTCACTTGGATAGATTTAATTTATGACAATACTGGTACAATTTGTTTATTCTACATTGATTTTAATTAGAAATCTGATGATACACTTATTATAACTTGTGGCATATGTGCACTGTTAATGTATAACCTAACGATACCGCTAATTAGAGAGCAGTGAATTATCGATCAGACTAATGACGCATAAAACCCTTAGGAACAGTCTAGAGTCCTTATCGGTCCTGCTTCCTGCCTAGCCTAGCCAGTTAAGTCCAGAACACCGATCTCAACTTCTGCATATATAAATCATTTATTTCAAACATACTGGGTTTATATACAAACCAAACATACCAAATTGTACCGTAAAATAGGAAATAACATTTGTACAAGATTTAGCCAAATGTGGCTGTGAGTGTGGGAGGTAGTAATTAATAGACAAAGCATAATTTAAGAATGGTAAATCGTCTAATTATAGTCTGTAGGTCAAAATGAAGCTCATAATGAGAGGAACACGAAAATAAGTAGTTTAATCATTTAATATATATATATATATATATATATATATATATATATATATAGTATTAGACCAGAAATAGATTCCAACAGTTACCATTCATTATTCTCATCGAGATATAACAACACTAAGTAGGATAGAATCGAATAAATAATGATAACTATGTATCTTCTAACGTATTGGTCTAAAAACAAGCAAAGAAGAAGACAATGATAATGGAAAGCAAAAGCCTACTTCATTTTTTTTGTAGAAATGGAAGAACGTGATACTTCTAAATTAGTTATTTAAAGAAGGATAAGCATTTCATGTCAGGTTATAGCTTGATCTGGTAATGATATTCGACTAAACGCTTTCAACTATTTACTGTCCATTAAAAGTGACAGCGTCAACCTCATTGCTGAATGCTTGCAAAATCTACTACTTTTAGAGAATGATTTACCAATCCATAGCTTTTAGAAGTTACATAATTGATTTATTAGCGATAGTTGTCGAATGACGTTATATTTATGAGACATAAAACTTGTTTTTTGGCATTTTCAGCTACTGAAAGTTAATTTAAGTTTAGTGTCAATAAACGTTTGATGACTGTTTCCATGGTCATGACTGTTTATATATAAACAGATCAGTTGTATTGTGGTGTGAGCTACTTACATCCATATAAGTAGTATATAACGGTAGTTAGGAAAAGAATATATTTCAGTAGAAGATCGATAAGGAAAATAACGGGAACTCAAAGCAATCGATGCAAAAATTCAGGAACAATCAAATCTGAGATGATGGACTGGTATTTGCAAAAGAAACAGTCACGTTTGAGACAATGAATTGACATTTTGCAAATGAAGTATTGTACTATAATTTATACACAATCTTTGAGCTGTACAAATGTGACCTCGAGAAACTCCAATCATTTACCAAACTAAGGAATTAATATGAAGAATTACGATTAAGAACTAAGGTTAGAAATTAGGGTTAGGAGTTAGAGTTAAAGTCTACCATACAAACTAACATTAGCTATAATGCTAAAATCTTAACCATATAAATGAATCAATTCCGCTCAGGAATTCAAGAGCCTCTTTCTTGAATTTCATTGATAGATTATAATCCCATCCTAGAAGTAAGATATTTTAGCTAAATGATCCATGCTCTTTCTCAGTATATTTAGTGTGATTATTTGTGATAACAGTCAGAATCGATTACTAAGATTAATTTTTGTATTTAGACACAAATAAATATGTAACACTGACTCTTCTACGCATGCCATTTAAATTCAATGAGTTAGAACTTAAAAAGGTTTTCAAAGCCTAGAACAGTCACCAATTCGCAATTCATCTGAGATTCATTTATTAATACAGATTAGACAAATTAACTGGATTCATTAATGACTCCATCGAGTAAATAAAGATGATCCAAACTCATGACTCGTGATCTCAACTATTAAAATTACTATAATATCCACAAAACCCTTTCTGATATTAATCAACATATGCCACTAGTGACAGTCTCCAAGAGATATTTTCTGGAGTTCTAGGGAGAAGCAGTGACCAGTGGAGTTCAACTGGGTCAGTTGTGAGATAGTAACTCACCGAAGACAATGGTGGACCGTGACTCAGTTTCGTGGATTGATTGAAGTTAAATATTAACATCGTTGGATGCCGGCTCAGTGGTCTAGTGGTTAAGTGCTCGCACGCGAAACCAGTAGGTCCTGGATTCGAATCTCGCAGGGGGCGAGGTCGTGGATGTGCACCGCCGAGAAGTCCCACAATAGGACGAAACGGCCGTCCAGTGCTTACAGGTTTTCCGTGGTGGTCTAACTTCAGCTGACTCATGATCTTAACCATCGAAATTACTATAATCTCCACAAAACCCATCTGGTAATATAACTTTGTTATAAAAAAAAATTATATTTACTACATTCTTTTCATTCAATTCATTTTCATTATAGGCTAATATTCATAAGTAGGAAAAATATGATCAAACAATATATAATTACTGTTTATCAAAATCTATTACTGCCAAAGAAAAAGAAGTGACTCAAGCTTGACCATGGACACCTTGGAATTACTAATTATTCATATGAAATGTTTAAAAGATCAATCCAATTTAAATCTTGGTTCCATCATTAAGCCTTAGCAACAAAGTTGATTATGAATAAATTTAATTGATCATTAATCTAAACATATTTCGATAATGATATTAGAAGACGAAGATTATCAGAACTATGTGATATATTAGCGCAATACATTTCGAACAATCTGGTCACACATATACTTGTTAAGAGCATTTATATATAAAAATAAAACGTCAACTAGACTGGAAACAGGGTAAGAGGTTTATTGAAGCCTTAGCCATACGAAAATTCAAACCGCCTTTGTGTGTTCAAAAACAGTTTGTTCCTACCTTAAACCTACCATGGTAATATTGACTTATTATCCAGAGTGATTAGGTTTCAAATTGTGTTCACATTATTATTATTATTATTACTCTTATCATTATCCTTATCTCCTCTTACCCATTTCCAGTCTAGTTGACCTTCTATTTTTATATATAAATGCTTTTAACAAGTACATATGTGTGATCACATTGTTCGAAATATATTGCGCTAATATATCACATAGTTCTGATAATCTTCGTCTTCTAATATCATTATCGAAATTTATCAAAGGGACTAATTGTTCTAAACATATTTGTCATAGGATTTATTTAAAGTGAATAGTTTAAAACACAATATATCATCTTTACTATAGAATGAAAATACATTATCTTAAAGAGAGCAAAAATAAAGATTGATGCAGAATAATAAATGGATTCATTTTATTTCGTTAGGTTCTCATCAGCTGCTTACAACCTAAAATATTTAAAATTCAACATTATTACAGATATTGACATACTTATACATAAGAGGGTGATTAAGGATGAGTAAATGTATCATGGTGTAGCTAAGATTCCAATAGAGTTAATGAGACCATAAAATTTTTGTCTCGAATAAATAAAGTTTGAGAGGGAAAGTTCCGGAACATTGAAATAGTGATTAGAACTCACGAAAATAGATTAATGGTAATAAAGAAAATATGAATTGAAATCAGTCAGTTATGTATTATGTAATTTAAACTTCTGAAAGAGTTGGAATAATAACGCAATAAATAAATACATAGAAATAAATGAATAAAAAGGGAGGGGGTTAATGTTACCAGGGTAAAGAAAGATTTATTCCTGTCTATTTTTGTATACTTTAACCTATACATTATATGAAGAAGAAGAAGAAAAAAGGAGATTCATTCTTCTGATAGTATAAATACTCATCTTATTTTGATTTATTTTGATCATTCCATTCAGTAATTCTAACTTTTGCTCTATCAATTAATTGTTTACCTAATTCAATTTGTTTCTGTTTTATTTTATTTAAATAATCTTTATTACAATAGTTTATAGGTAATTCAATCAGTAACTTTTGTATAATACCATCCAATTCTATTGGATTTACTTCAATGATTGCATTCAATTCATCTAAATTTAATGTATCAATAGAAGTAAGATATTTGAACATTGGATCTAATTCTTCTTGTTTTACTTCATCTATTTGAATTTCTTTTACTGAAGATATAGATTGTTCATTTTGTTTCTCATGTTGCTCTTGTTGTTGTTGTTGTTGAATTTCTTTCGGAATATCATCTGGTTTATAAATTTTTAACCATTTAGTTACTTTTTCAGGAAACAATTCAGAATATTTTGAAATAAATTTAAGTGGAATAGCTTCAGATAATGGAGCTGGCCATACAGAATCTGTTGATGTTTCAAATGTTTCCAATAATGTATCAAAATAAAGTGGACAAGGAATTTTTATCTATCATAGAAGAAATAAAATAAGAATATATATTGTATTTGAGATTAATAATCACTGGTTGAAATCATGAGCCAATTGAAGCTAGACCACCATGGAAAACCTGGAAGCACTGGTTAAGCGCCTGGCGCGAGACTGATTGGTCCTGGGTTCGAATCTCGCGGGGGGCGGGATCGTGAATGCGCACGGCTGAGGTTATTTGTGATATTCACTGACTATTTATCAAATATTAATATCTGTTCTCGTGATTGTAACATGCAGAAAATTACAACTGCTTAAAATAGATAATTTTAAATTACCATGTTTTTAAAGAATAGAGATCGTCTCCAAGAGGCATTTCCTGGAGTTCTAGGGAGAAGCAGTGACCAGTGGAGTTCAACTGGGTCAGTTGTGAGATAGTAACTCACTGAAGACAATGGTGGACCATGACTCCATTTTGTGGATGCTGGTTTATTGCTCCATAGGTTAAGCATTCGCACTCGTCACCGATATGTCCTGCATGCACACTGCTGAGGAGTCCAATACTATGATGAAACGGTTGTCTATTGCTTTTATGTTTTTCCTGGTTGGCTAGCTTCGATTGACTCATGAATTCAACGTTTAAATTACTATAATATCCAACTTCGGTTCTTATTATCAGCCAGAATAGCGAGCACATGTGTCACAACTGTAGAAAATGAATATTTGGAACACGAAAACACTGTGATTTGTACAACTCAAGGAAGAAGCAAAAGTGATGGCACATGAAGATTTTCTTCAACTAAATACTCTTATTTGTATATATATATATATATATATATATATATATATATATATATATATATATATATATATATATATATATATATATATATATATATATATATATATATATATATATATATCACAAATAACCGGAAGAGGCGAACTACAAAATCGGCTTTATGCAAAATTACCGCAAAATGTATCCGGGATGTTATACTGATTGAAATTTACACTAAATTCGGATAAAACAATGTCATACTATTTCAAAATGAATGTTATTGTAGATAAAAATCATGCTGAATTAAAACATGACCTGGTTGGGGTCCACGAGATGAAAGCAGCCGATGGTTAGAGACCTTAAATGACATTGCTCGAAATCGTTTGCAATGGCACAGGTGCATCCACTCTTTGTGTTCTCCCAAATAATAATCTCCTTAACTCTTCTTGTCTCTTTTTTTCTCTTTCCAAATTTTTTTCACTGGATTACACTCCTTGAATAACATCTTCAAACATCAATGTTTCCAATTACTGCTTATACTTTTACTACCTCTACCACTACGGGATTTGAATCGACAATTGTTTCCGTTTGCTAATGTGGTATGGCAACTCGAACTGATGTACGTACGTACGGAGTTCTGCGTTGTTTACTGACCGACTGACCGTCCCAACATTCAGTAATAAGTATATAAATTATATCTGTGAAAAGACATTAAATTGACTAGAACATATAACGATAACAATTATAAAATCTTTGATTATTGATTCGAGGTGTATAGATAGTTCTTCCTGATCTCTTGTTTAGGAAATTCAATATAATATAAATCGAAATTTGAAAAATATCATGGTGAACTGAATGATTTTATTCTTCTTTCAACTTCAGTAATTTTCATTACATACTATTTTTTTCCCTCTTTATAGTGTATTATTTTGATTTTTTAGCTGTCTTATTGTTGGGGATGTTAGATCCCCAGAACTCACTTCGGAAAAGACCTAATTTTGTAATTTTATTTGGAAAATTTGAATTTCTTTGTTTTCGCGCCAAAGGAGCTCTTGTCACCTTCATGTCGTATTTCCCACTGGGAAATATCTTAAATGCTATTGGTCCGTTGCGTCTTTTAGTATGCTGTTTGGTAACTCTCCTCAAGGACGGTTTTGTACTGCATATATACATTTTGAATTGTGTTTGTTGTTATCGCTCGTTTTCTGGCTGTTTTGCAGAATATACTTCCCCATTCCAAGCTTGGACTTCTCTTTCTAGGTAGCGGGGCTGGGACGCATCAATAGCTAGCTTACTGGTCTTTGGTCACTGAGTCAAGTTTCTCGTTCGCATATCAAGTGAAATCATGATAGCTTCAATCCCAGCACTTATTTTTTACTTCTAAGATTTAATGAAGTCAATTCGCTGACCCACTTATGAACTACTTCGTTCGTTGTTATTTATGTTCAGCTATTTACATTATTTTACATATTTCGACATTGACATCAGCTTCATCATCTTACAATAATAACTCGTACTGTACCATTAGTTTTCACTCTGCATGTACACCATGGTAACTAACGCGAAATTAACTTTTATTGTATATTTTATTAAATTGTAGACTGTCTAAAACAATCTTGTACAAACCATAATATCACGTAACACTGGAACTTTGGATAATCCTTTGTTGCAATGATTTATTTACAGCTTTCGTTGCTCAATAGTTATACCGACCATTAGTGCTAAATGAAACGAACAAACATTTCAGATGGAGTTATTATTTATTTATATATTTATATATGCGCCACACAAATCATTGGATTTTTGTGGGGGCTGTAACACTGCACGGGTGCTAAAACCGAAGTAAGTGGTTTTCTTAGGCGGCCACACTCGGAGCCTTCGACCTAAAGGTTTCATCCACAAGGAAGTGGGGCAACGTCAGGAGATGCAGTCCCATGGTGAGCAATAACAGGTTCATACTTCGTTTGTCTCCTCAGGATCCTGGAACTCGTGTGCATCATTGGTTTGGAATCAAAGTTTTTCAACTCTCGTAAGTGGACTCAACATGTGCACTAACTCGGTTAAAGCACCGGAAAATTTCTTTTTGTCCACTCAATTTCGTAAACAATAGTAATGTCTCAAGAAGGCAACGAATAGGAATTCTCTGACAGTGACTGTATACACGTGGCCATATGAGAGCATTTGAAGAAGGAGATCTCACTCTCTCTCCACCCTCGATCATATCAAAGCATTCGAGGACATATCTTAACAAACAGATTTTGTTAAAACATTTCTTAATAATTTTATTTAATCACAACTTTTACTCACTTCTTTCATAACTGAAATTACAAACGTTTTACACTGTAAATATGTCTCAAGAATACCAGTTTCACACTTGATCTTACGTTCAAGTTATTAGATCATCTTTAAATCATACTTTTACATAATTAATGATAAATATCAGATCGTAGTAATTTCAATAGTTGAGTCAATTAAAGCTAGACCACTATGAAAAACTTAAAAGTACTGAATGGCCATTTCGTCCTATTTTGCCACTCCTTAGCAGTGCAAATCCACGACCAGGTTTTCTATGTTGATCTAGTCTCAATTGACTCATAATCTCAACTATTTGAATACTAAATAACAAAATGATATATATATATTATCAGAATGGGTTTTGTGGAGTTTTTTTTTTAGAAATTTCACAGGTTGTAATCATGAGTCAATTGAAGCTAGACCACCATGGAAAACCTGGAAGCACTGGACGGCCGTTTCGTCCTAGTATGGGACTCCTCAGCAGTGCCCATCCACGACCCCGCACCACGCGGGGCTCGAACCCAGGGCCTACTGGCTTCGCGTGCGAGCACTTAACCACTAGACCACTGAGCCGGCATCCAACGGTGTTAATGTCTAACTTCAACCAATCCACGAAGTTGCGCCACCGTACAGGTTTTCCATGGTGGTCTAGCTTCAATCGACTCATGATTTCAACCTGTGAAATATATATTACTTAAGTACATTTTAAGTAGTTTGTTCATATTAGAGAAATATACAACTTACTAATTTTTGATTTATTGCTGTATATGGTCCAAATACTTTCTCTAATAAATGATGTTTATTTAAAAAATTTTTTGAAAAATATTCTATTAATGATTTTGCCGCTACTGAATCAAGATTAAATAAGTAACCGGAAAATTGTTTTTCAAATCGTATAAGATTAATTTCATCATTATTGTTATTATTATTATTATTATCATCATTAATTGGGTTGGATGTAGGTGATAATTGAAATAAGGATTTAAAGAAACGAATTGATCCTATTAAACATGTTGTTTTATTAGTTTTAATTAAATTTTCTTTATTCTGATTCACTTCCATTTGATTATCACATAAATGTTTATTTGCTAATTGCCATAATTGTAAATGACGTAATAATATATAAGCCATTGTAAAACTAATGATAATACACATTAATTTTTCTATATTTATATAATTATGATTATTATTATTAGTATTTATATTGAATAATGATTGAAACATTGAATGATGAATTTTATGTTCAATAGAATTGAATTTATTATTTTGATAATTATAAAATTCATAAATCCATTTCGTTGTTGACCATTGAATACATTCAACAAAATAATTGATTAATGCAGAATCCCATAATGATATTTTAAGTTTCAGTTTATTGAAATGATTATTCATTAAATCTATTGTAGAATTCATTTGATTATTTTGTTTATTGAATAAATCCGTTTTTATGAAAGAATCAAACGGTAAATTTGGTCTTTGTAATAACAAATTTGATTCTTCTAAATAATTTTGTATTTCTAATTTAAGTTGTTTATCATTATTTAAATGATTGAAAAATTTTTCAGCTTTATCTAATGATAAAATTAAAAATAATTGATCCGTTGTTGAGGAATGATCATTAAGTTCAATTTCATTAGGGGATCTTTTATGTTTTAATTTTGGAGTTTTCATTTGGAAATTATGATCTATAATGTAAAGTAAATATTATTAAGTTAACAAATATTTATTTCACTAGTTTAAATCATGAGTCGATCGAAGCTAGACCACCATGGGAAACCTGGAAGCACTGGATAGCTGTTTCTTCCTAGTATGGAACTCCTCAGCAGTAAGCATCCGCGATCCCGCCACCCGCAGGATTCGAACCCAAGACTCATCAGTTTTGCGAGCAAGCGCTACTACTGAGCCGGCCGGTATCCAACTGTGTTAATGTCTAACTTCAACCAATCCACAAAGTTGCGCCACCGTCCACCACTGTCTTCGGTGAGCTGATATCTCACAACAGACCCGGTTGAACTCCAATGGTAACGGCTTCAGTGGTCTAGTTGGTCAAGCGCCTGGAGCGAGAATGATAGGTCCTGGGTTCGAATCTCGCGGGGTGCAGGATAGTGGATGCGCACTGCTGAGGAGTCCTATACTAGCAGGAGACGGCCGTCCAGTGCTTTCAGGTTTTCCATGGTGGTCTAACTTCAATTGACTCATGATTTCAATCAGTGAAATTTCTAAAATCTCCACAAAACCCCTTCTGAAAATATTTATTTACAATGTTTAAATTTCAATTCAATCATAATGTGATATGTGCTACTCTTATTGACTTAAGTAATATATGATGAAAATCAGGAATATAATGTCTAGCAGAAGAAGATTACAAAGATTAAGAAAGGAAGAACTGGAATAGAATGTAATTAGTATGGAAATGTAAAAATAATGAAGTACGAGACAATTATTGAATATTTTGCATATAAAGTATTATAGTATGTTTTCTTCTATTTTACCAAATAATTGCAATTTGGTGCTACATATGTAATTCGGTTGTCCTCACCTGTGTTCTCCTTCACTACAATAACAACACTATACGGATATTTTGTGTTAACAGATGTGTTATATTTTACATTTAATTGATATAAAAGGTAGGAATATACTAATCTCTAACACTATACTACAGACAAACCATGCAAACAAATTGGTTTGACATTCATAACTACATTGTCAGTTAAAAGGTGTGTTAATATTCACAGTTAATTAAAAATATAAACATGAAATTGTAAAGCTATATGCTTGACTTTATTGAGTTTTACATAGTGACAATAGTTCATAAGAAACTTAATGTAAACAAAATCTTAAAGTTTGAAAACTTTTCTAGTGTATGAGTTGGCTGTTCAACTTTAATGTGGACGTTAATAATACTGAGTGTCATAAAAAATACCTCCAAATGTGATCGACAAATAACAATTCTGGAGATTTTCAACTTGCATGCAACAATCCCTATAGATTCCTCACTGCGTCTTGTTTTCCTGGTTGAAAATTCTGTATTATTCATATGTCTATTTTCAGCTCGATTCACCGTAACTGAGTAGTGCTGAGAATAAACCCGTAATCGAATTGCTAGAACACTCTCTCCTAGGTAAATTTAAGACGAAGTTCGAGACATAAACTATTGATGTTTTAATCCAAAAGAGGAGTATCATCCAACATATTATGTTCCATACAAATCGTTCGATAAGCAAACCGAAAGCATAAACTATCGGAACAGGTCGTAAAAATAAGGTGTCAGATGATACAACTTCAAAGTCCTTAATCTCATTTTCATTGGGGATAATTCCATATGTTTCAATAAAGGCAGGAACTTAATAAAGAAATCTAATCTGTCTGAAGATGTTACTCAAAATACTCTTCGGGGACTTAACGGAAATGCCTCCAGTTTGGATTATGTTCTCACTAAGAAGGTGGTATTTATTCCATACCGGTTGTCTTATATCCAAACAGATGTATAGATTATGTTATGATACCGTCTAACCCTTATCCAGCAGAACCTCTAGTTGAAATAATTTCGTACAGAAATTATCATGATATATGCTAAGATAGCAGCATCACAACACAAAAAATCCCAATGTTGATCTAAAAGTCCTAAAGCTGAACCGTTTCGAGTCGTTGGTACTTATGCATTAGTTTGACCAATGTAGACTATACTCTTAGAAGTACAGTTAGCTACTGTATGTCTCCAAAGTGTACTGTCACATAGTCCAGCCCCTTGGATTTTGGATAAAGATATGTTTATAGATTTCGTTCTCGGAAAATAACAAAAAATATTAGAAATATGATGTTAAAAAACAACAAGCTAACTTTAAGATACAAAAAGTCATAATCTTCAACCCACCGAACGATGGATGCGTTTGTTCCAGGGTGGTGAGATTGCTAGGACCACCAGGTATCACGTTACAAAGCAGTGGTCTGTTGAGTCGTAATGCAGATTTTAAAAGCAAAAATAAAGAATCAGAGAAAACATAGAAGCCGAAGCGAGTATATACTTATTTTATTGATTAGGTAATAAGGAAAGTAAATGTGCAGAGATTTACACAAAAAAGTCATGTGGATGGAGATGACAAGTTACTAGATGGTCTGTCGGGTGACTGATAATGCAAATAAGTAAAATTAGTGATGGACAAAATATGAAGTGTAATTTAGGATTGTTAATAAATGAGAAGAGTATTTTCCTATGAGTGAGTATCGGCTGACGGACGGTAAATCATAGGTATGTCGAATTTCCTCACTTATCTGTTTAGCTGGGACTGTAAGACGACACTCCGGGCAAGCAAAATACGTAATCAGAAAACGTACAACTTCACATACGTGCTATCTGCTTTGCGTATTGAAGCAACAGGCAGGAAGAGTAAAGAAACCAATCAATTTAAACAGATTAGCCACAAAGATTTTTGATATGCAATTCATCCTGGGTTGCCTCATCAGGCACAATACTGAGTTTAAAATTGGAACCTTTTTGAGCTAACGTGAAGTAGTTACTATTTTGTGCACTTATTATTTACTCAAAGTTCCTTACACAAACGATAAATTTATGCATTTTAAACAGTACTTCAGAAGTCCGCGATCTCGTTGTCATGGTTTGGAATTCAAGGTAACAATCTCCAGTATTTTTGTGGCAATGTATCAGCTTATGACTAGCCAGATGGCACTTTGTGTACAAAATAAGAATGGATCGTGTTAAATATTCAGTTCTTTTTTCAGTTGCTTGTAAAAACTGATTAACTATTTTGTGCTCATTTCTTTTTTCTGTATGGTACCGAGTACTCTCTAATGAGTTTGAAACCTAGGAAGGAAAAAAAGGGAAAAAGTGGTCCGGCTACTCATCCAACGCACAAAGTTCGCCTGTAATTATTAGGGGAGGCAGCGGAAAAACATCAATAATGCAAACATTGGGTTATAACGATCTGAAAGTCGGAACTGGAAGTAGATAATATCGGTTTTTAAATCCGCTACGGACTAAATTATTTAGTTTTTTGCGTCCATTTCCCGGTTTTAACATATGAAATGTATTAATTAACCCATTTTATCAGTACATTTGTTTTCTAAAGCTGACCAACAGCTTACACATTTGTGGAAGCCCAGTATGGTATGTTCAGCCACTCATTTCCCGTATCTTGTAAATATACGCCAGAGATATTAAAGTTAATCATGAAAATATTGTGTAGGTTAGGTTACATTTCACCATCGTATCTGGTAATAAAAACGTTTGAAGTTCTCTGTAGACTTCTACAGTACTCAAGGTAGCCTCAAAACTCATATGACTACTTAATTTTTAGCAGCTAAAGACTGACTTGGTTTGCTTATTTGTGGTTTATTCTGTATGTTTCTGTTTTCTACCTATGTTTACTATAGTATAGTGGATATATCCACTTTCATGATACTACACAAAACTCTTTTCTTACTTCTCAGAAACTTATTTTGCCAGTACAAAACCAAACAAATATGTGACGAATGAATTTTAAAAGATTTGTCACTGTTTGCTTCGATTTGTGATTTAGCCTAATATATTTGGAAATTATTATTATCCGACTCTTCCGTATTTAGTTCATATCCAGAATATTCCTCATTCTATTGATTTAGAATTAAAACCTCTTCGGGTTTTATGGTTTGAATCTTACTGCCGGTCATTTTCTTTCATTAATTTGTGTATCACTAACCCTTTTTGAACAAGTTCGTTGAAAATACAGACAACATGTCGCCTCAAGTGTTTATCATTCTACGAGAAAACTCTCGTTTCATAAGGACATTCGCCGTTCTTTGAGTTGAACTTGAAGGCTTGTCTTCTACGTTTTTTGACCTATTTGGAAAGAGAATAGGAGGTAACTGAAGCTAAAGGTTATTTCTCTGCACCATGTGCATCACGGATGGTTAAAATGTTTCGAGCGCATGTGAGAGTAATAAAGACTTTTACTCAACGGGCTCATGAGAAGTAACTTACGCCACTTAACCCGACAACGAAGTTCGGTATATGACTACTCGTAAGAAGTAAACGGTGTGCCTACGGTCCACTCCGCTAGTTCATTTCTCTAGTTTCTGCGTGGTACTTCTGAGGTATGTTTTATAGCTGAGCCTACGTAGGTATTCTAGAGCGTCCCAACGAGTGCCTAGCAGTTTGCAAGTCACCAAATAGTCATAGTTAAAAAAGAATTAGTGATTTGAGCTGTATTCCGTAAGGTTTGGATTTGAGTCCTCGAAATGATTCTCCGGCTCGCATTTGGATACACTCCGAAGTGTTCTAGTTCTTTTTGAGTGGGAGAGAATATAGCATTATTAATATTATTATTATTATTCATGAACAACTAAATCATGCATAATTGTTAAGCGAAGACCATTTGGGTTAGGGCACTCTGGATCCCTAGAAATCACTTGACAAACGCCTCATTCTTGTTATTTTATCTTGCAAAATTGAATTTCCTAATTTTGTTCATAAGCGCCCATTTTTACTTTCGAATTGTACTTCCTACTTAGAGGGACCCTAAGTGTTATTGGTTCATTTCATCTTTTGATACGTTATTTTGTGACGTCTCACAAGGACATTTTTATGCTGTATTTATACGACCGAGTTGTGTGCTTGTTGTTTGAGCTTCTGACTACTTGTGAAATACATAAACTTTAATGTATCAACTTGTACTTTTTGATAGTGTTCCCAGATTAAAAATTTACAAGACTTCTAGTAAACACGACGTAGAGCAAAGCACATGTCCTATATATGTGTTTTCGACTATCTATCACAAGGATGTTGAAAAAGAAGGGAAAATGACAGGAAACAGGACAGGCAATCTCCATAAGTGGTGAAGATGAGTTGTTCATGATGGAGTAATTAGGGTGCAATTGTAGAATTATGGTCTAGGTTGTTTATTAGTACTGCTATAATGATAAACCTAATCCTAAGACTATGGATTCGTCACGAAGTGACTATCTAATCTATGAGATCTTACGTGGAAGTCCCATCTTGTCTACCCTGACTCGTCGTATCGTGGGAATCAGCAGTATAACGTCTAGCACTTTCAAAAAACACATTTGGGCTAAAGAGAGAACAATGTATTTAATGTAAGTAGAGACACGTTATATAGAATGACCACGTCTGCGACGCTGAACAACGCCATCCGATCGAATGAATGTTCCCGCGTTCACCATTGTCGGCTTTCTTTCTGTGTTAAATGTTGAATATTAACTTCACCAGTTATCTAATGCTCAGCTTTGAAGATTGTGTGGTTAGGATTATTATAACTACATAAGTATTAAGACTTAACCCCTGTAATCAAGTCAATTTTCAAGCAAATGGGTTTTGATGAGCTAAAGAACATTAGCCTAAAGTATGGTAACAAATAAATGAAGGAATTTATAGATGGGGAATTTCCAAAAGAACCGAAAGCTTAGGATTAAGTAGATATCTAGAATAAAGTAAGAAAAACACTGAGGTACGAATATAAGTTATTGTATATACCATACAAAGACTTGAAAATAAATCATTGACTTAGTAAGATATAGAAATAAAATAAGAGTCTAAGTAGTAATAGCTTAGAATGATTCCATGAAGATTTCGATTAAAAGTAGGGAAGGATCATGAAATATCAAGCTGTAGGAATCATATTTACGTGCTGAAAATAAGTTTGAAGAGTTCATTTGTTTCAGTGAGTGTTATGCGATGTTTGGCTTTCTTAATCTGGAATTCTAGGAGGCTAGAACCAAAAAATCTTGAATGCGCATGGAGACCTATCAAGACAATGAAAATAATAAGTATGAAGATGTTGCTTCTTTGATTTGTCAACCCATCAATATACAAGAGAGAGAGTGTCTCGATCTAGATTAGGGCCTTGACACGATAGGCCGACGGTCTAACACTTAGGCTGGAAATACGTGGGTACGAATTGGAACTAGCGGCTCTGGGAGGGGCACGAAAAACTGCTTTATCAACTGACTGACAAGAGAGACAGAGAAATGTAGAATTATGGCCCCGTTCAATATTGTTACATTTAACTTTTGTTACTCTAATAACTGACCAAACCCTAAAATTGTGGATTCCTCATGACGTGAATACCTAATTTATAAGATCTGTGAAAGTCACGTCATTGTCTACAATGACTCGTCCTGTCGTGACGTTCAGCAATATGGTGTCCAGTATTTCTAAACAACACATTACAGCCGGAAAGGGAGTAATATATTTAATACAAAAGGCAAGGAATGACCGCGCTCACTTGACCGATCTATGATTTTCGATTTCTTGTTGCCGTCCTCACCATTGTTGACCTTCTCTAAGTGTTACACGCTGTATGTAAATCTTTTTGGTATTTATCTCCATAGCTCCAAAGATCTTGTGGTTATGAACTAATGCCACTACAAAGACAATACCTGATTTATTTTCGATTCCCAATTCAGATTAGTGTAAAAATATACATGAATAAATAGATGAATAACATGATCACAACGCACAAATAACTAAAACATAGAACTACGTCTGAAAAAGGGGTTAGGGTAGAAAAATAAAGTACCAACAGTCATATTCATATTAAAACTGCTTTGGAACAGAAAAAGGATATGGCGGTTATTCGTATGGTTTACATGATAAATTTGGGACAAAACCAAATGTCACTATGTCGTTCCCATAGGTCACCGTCGTTCTGTCGATAAAAGGAAACAGGTCAGTAGTGAATGGGTCTTTATTTAACACATTGTGGAGCAGGAAGTTACCTGTTAAAACAAATAAAGCTTTTCAACATACAAGATAATAGGAAATATAATGCCTATGCAAAATAAGGAAGTGGATGAATACTTCAGCTGTATTGTGTTGACATATACTTAGTTGTTTGAGGTCGGCTCTTCAATAATCAACCTAAGATGTTACAACTATGTTAAAACCTCTGAATATGGTAAAATACCATCCCCTTTCCCTGTTTTTCGTGAATTTTTTCGTCTCGCTGTTTACATTAACTTCCCTCTTGAAAACATGTTATAGCTTTCTCTTGTCTCAGTGCATAAGTGAGGGAAATTATCTAGTTTTGTGCTCTATGTAAGACAACCGATTTGGTTGACTAGAGTTAACACAAAAAGAAAGACACACTACTTAAAAGCGATAGCTTAGTTGTTGTCATCGATACCATCCCTCAGAAACATATGCTCTTTCTTGCTAACTCGGAGAATATCCGGTCTTCCGTATTTTCGTATGATTTTCTAATGGGATTTTGTTCTTGTTCTACACTCCTCTGAGTCGCTGAACCTCCTATATCGAAATCGACCAGGAAGATTTCTAACACCGAGCTCATTTTCTCAGTTTTCTGTAGAGTGCCAAAAGTTTCCAGTATGTGGTTGGCATGACTTATCTGCCGTTGACTTTTGACTTCCGACACATACATTACTTCGTCTCTCAAGTATACGCCCACTGGTCCAATGTGAAGATAGACGTATACTCTTTGGTTGTTTGGAAATATGCTGTCTCGCCCTACGATAATGATTACATTGGGTCCCCATCTTTCAGTTTCCTCTTCTAGCGCTATGTTACTTTGGTTTTACGGCATCAGAAGCAGTTTTAATTTTCCTAACAAACATAATTTTAGCCCGAGTTAACTAATTAGGTATTGATGGGATGAGAGTTGTTCTGTAGACAAATAGGAACCCATTATGACTTTTCTTTATCTTCCCTCTCCTTTTACCTTCAGTAGCGCCCTTTTAAAGGCATCCACAAAACTTTCGACCTGACCATTCG